AAACTTGAGCATTGTTTATAAGTGAAGACTACGGAACAAATATTTTGAAAGAGCTATCATGAATACATTGAAATGACTGAAACAAACAATACAAGACAAATTAAATGAAAATCTAAGAAAAATATTTCAGCAAATAAAAATATCAGTCAAGGAATAGAAATAATGAGAGTACTAGGATGGGAGAAATTATAAGAAAACAAAACAGAATTTCTGGAGTTGAAAAGTACAGTAGCTAAAAATTCAATAGAGGGCCTCACCAACAGATTTGAGTGGCAGGGAAAGAAAGAGACCAATTGAAATTATCTGGACTGAGAAACAGAAAGAAAGAAAACAAATAAACATTAACAGAGCTTCAGAAAGCCATGAAATAATATCAATAGTGTCAATATATGCACAATGACAATCGCTGAGGGGAAAAAAGAAAAAGGGGGATCATTTTGGAAGAAGTGTCTAGGTTTCAAACACACCAAAGCTATATTTAAAAAATTAATCTACATATCCAAAAAGCTTAACAAACTAGATAGGATAAACTCAAAGAGGTCTACAACTAGACCCAGCATTGTTTGAAGTTTCCCTCTTTCTTTCTTTTATTTTTTGTTTTGGTTTTTTGTTGTTGCTGCCCTTGTTTTGTGTTTATTTGTTTGTTTGAGATAATGTCTCACTTTATAGTTCAGGCTGGACTTGAACTCAGTGTGTAACCAATTGAATTCAAACTCACAGCATTCCTATTGCCTCAGCCTCCTGAGATCTGGGATTACAAGTGTGTGCCACCATGCCTGGCTTAATTGAACTTTCAAAAGCCAAAGAAAAAGAAAGTGTAAGGTCCGACTCGACGCACCTTCCCCCAATGACCAGCCGAGACCGTACGGATGCAAGATGCAGAGGTTTTATTGCGTGGGCCACGGGCGTCTCTAATGTCCGAAGACAAGAGAAGCGCCCCGCCAAGGATGATCTTGCTTATATATAGTTTGGAGAGCGGGAAAGCGGGTTGTACAGAAGCAGAATTGCGGATTGGTTAATTCATGTGAGGCCATAAGCTGGGAGGGGTATTTTGCGCGGATTGCCACATCTTATTGTTGGACTATTTCCTTGTTCTTTAGATTCCGAGAATTGGGTGTGCTAACGGGAAGTGGGCGGGTTATTCTCGGAACTTGTCGGGGCAAGTCAGGCGGTGGGGCAAGTGATGGGGCAAGTCAGGACATGTTGGGACAGGCAATAGGGCGGGTCTCTCCATTCCCCCATTTTCTTTGGCAATAATAAAATCCTTTATTAAGGGTAGAGTTTCTTAATGATTAGTTCCTTTCTCCTGCCTGAGAACTTGATTCATTGTTTAAATTTTTAGCTAAGGGGTCACAGCAATTTGTAAAGGCATCTCTTAGACAGCTAAATTGGGGATTAGGATTCCCAGAGCACAAAAAGTTTTCATATTTTTATCATCTGTATGCTCATAAACTCTTAATTTAGAAGTATAATAACTCATAACAGTATGACACAATATAAGAGTCTATATCTAGATTGTAGTTCTCCTTCTTCAGCCGTGCGTAGACTCACCAGCTTCCGGTGTGGTGAGAGCAGGGCTTTGAGTGCATTGTCTCTTGGCCTCCTAGAGTCGGATTCCCTGGAAATTGTTTTACTCTAGAGTGGTGGTAGCTGAGCCTCAGCTACCTTGATAACCATGGGAGTAACCATAAGCAACTCATATGGCCCTTTTGACTTATATGTCTACCTTAGCATTGCTATCGCATCTTTTCCTTCCTTGGTGTTCAGAGTAATGAATTATTGCTTTGTCAGATTTCCACATTGCCTCAAATAACTATATTATACCCTTTTTAAATTTTTAATAAGTTTGCCCTCTTCTGTGAGAAGACCACACCTTTTAGACTGTGCCATAGATACACCAAGTGGCAAACAGAAATCTGTATAAACGTTTACCCTCTTTTCTTTTGCCCATCGGAGAGCCTGTATGAGTGCCCATAGCTCTGCTCAGTGCACTGACCATCCAGTGGGGAGGGGTCCTGCTTGGACCACTTCATCCTGAGTCATCTCTGCATAGCCAGCATAACATGCCCCATCTTTCATGAAGCTGCTCTCATCCTTCAATAGGACGACATCAGCCTCAAGCAGTGGGTCTTTGTGCAGATCTTAGATGACTGGAAAACAATTCATCAGTGACCCTGAGTCAGTTGTGGTCAGGGGGCCAGGTTCCAAGGGCAAAAGTAGCAGGGTTTAAGGTTTTAACTGGAGCAAAATATAGGTGGGGATCCTCACAGAGGAGGGCCTGATATTATGTGACTCTATTATTTGAGAGTCATCAGTGTCATGTTATTCAATAGTTCTAAAAGGCAAGGGGAAACCAGATAATTAATTTTTCCTAATGTTATCTGGCCAGCTTTTTCAATTAGCATTACTGCAGCTGTCAGGGCTTTACAAACAAAGGAACTGTCTCTTTACAGCTGGATTTAAACTCTAAGATAAATATATTACTGGCGAATTTTATCGGCCTATTACTTCAATGAGCACCCTTAAACCAGTATGATTTCCTTTAGTCAGGTACAAACTAAAAGGCTGGGTCACATTTAGGATCCCTGATATGGGGGGGGCGGCAGAAAGAGTTAATTCTAGCTGTTTAAATGTTGACTGTTGCTCTTTATTCTATCATAAACACTGTCTTTCTGGGCCATTTAAAGATTTATAGATATAGAGAATCTAGATCTTATAAAAAACTTTTATCTCAAAAATTCTCTCATCTGTTTTAAGTCCTTTGCTCTAAGCAGCATAAACTATATTTTGTCTCTTGAAGCAGCATTAATAGTCTCTCAATTCTCTGGATTTTTTATTCAGTACATCAGAAAATTAACAATAATAATTCTATATATGAAACTTTATAACCTTTAATCTAATTAGGTATCAAAAGCATTTTGTAATAGAACCTCTTAATAACTATTTTTCTATAGAAATCTTATTTTGGAAATGAGCACTATGAACATCACAATAACATATTTAGAATTTAACCCTTTGATGATAACCAATGTAAACATTTTATAACAACATATTTAGCCATGCTTACTGGGGGTATATCTTCTCAGAAGGCCTTAGTGAATAAAGACCAGAATAGATTTTCTTTCAGTAGCTGTCTTTTTACTATTAGCAGGCATTTATCTAGACCTGAGTTTATACTCAATTATTGTGACAAAATTTTAACTTATAAAACCAGGTTATAGAAATTAACAAATTATTGATATCCTTGCTGTCATTTCAATCAAATATAACTGGACAAACACTTTTCAAACAATTGTACAGACACAAACTTGTAAGACAATTTGTGAAACTATAATATGCTCAAGCGTATTTGGCCAATTGAATTATAAGGCAGGTGGCAGCACTATTGAGCTAAGTAACTCTCCAGTTTTAAACCCTCTTTTAGTCAAGACTAGTCAAAACTTTTGCAAATCAATTAACAGATCTAACAGAATTAGAATCAAAAGGAATGAAAGCTCTTTGTTACTATAAAAGTAAACCTTCTGTAACAAACTTGAAACCAACAAGCAAATATATATAATTTTGTTAAATCACTTCCACATACCTTCTCTACATACTTAAGCCTTCTGGTCTTGTATATCTTTCTTTATATCTTTCTAACAAGACAAACATACAAAATCTTTTCATATCAAAAGTATATCTCTTTTACCCATAGCTTTTCTACTATCTTCTTCTGTCTCATTTACTATTAACCTTCTATAGCAAACTTCAGCTATTAAAATCTTAAAGTGTTCTTTTTCTGTTCTCAGATTGTTACATCTTAAAATTTGACTGGCTATCTATAGAACAGTATTAACCTTGAGTTTTTATCAACAAAGTACAGAAAAGAGCAAGTTAACCTTATAATCACAATTCAAGAATTTGCAGTGCACAAGAAATGTTTAAAGTACACCAATTAAACTTAATTCAAATCGAAACAAAGATATATTTATCAAATAGTTAAAATTTCTAACTTGATTTTTCTTATAAAACTCTCTTAATGTCTGGTAAAACACAATTGCAGTTTCTCTGGCTTGCAGTGTTTTTCCCCATATTTTGTCTTTCAGAGTTTTCCTACCTGATTTTAATCCATTATTTTTCATTTTAGTTCTGTTAATCTGGGTGTAAGCCCTGTTTCATCTTTTCTCTGAGTCTCATCATGCTTTTCCATTTGCACCCTCCAGTGCAGAAAAGCTAAACAATTTTGTTCTTGCTTCCCACCCTTCTTCATACTTTTAATCTTAGTAACCCTGGGAGGGGGAGGCAGCTCAACCTCCTCCAAAGGGTAAACACTGGGATTTGCCTGCAACGATGTCACATTTTCTGAGAGGCAAGTTTACCATGGGAAAACAGCAGATTTGGCAAGCAATTGTCTCAAAACCAAAACTAAATAGTCTCATTAGTAGTTGATTACCACGGAATAGAAGTTTGAGCAGTTCCGAGAGTATTCAAGGCTCTAAATTGTCAAAGTCTCAGGTAAGCAAAACAAAGGCAGATAACTTTCTTTTTTACAGAGTTGTCCTGTGGGCAAAGTCTGGCTTAGTTGAGACCAAGATAACTCACAAAGTTTTAAGCCTCTTTGGTTGCAGTTTTATCTTATAGTCCCCCATAAAATCTTTATCAAAATTCTGAATTATGCACTTAAGAAGAGTTGGTTTAGTATTAGCTTTTCCCATTACCATTAGATATTCCCTTGTGTGGTGACGGTGACACAAGACAAATGGTGGGGTGCCCTTCCAGAAAACAGCCTCATTTATTTGCCTGGAGGGCTCTTTAAACGCAAGCCTTCCTCCCTTTCTTTTGATGTATATATTGGGTTACCATTGGCTTTCTTAGCTCCTTGTACTCATTCTCCTAACCAAGTTTCTTTCACACACAGTCACACAAGAAGTTAATATATTCCCTCCCTGGGTCCCCTTCCAAAGACAAACTAGGGGGTAACTCAGGGGATCTCACCATTCAGATGATTTCATTTATTCTCCTTTTTTTTTTCTTTTCTGTTACTGGCGAGCTGGGCTACCGGCGAGCTGGCCTCCGCATCCTAGAAAGGGAACCCAGGAAATCCTAGGGGTGCACCTCTTCCCTTCCGAGGAGGCAGACAGTCACTCTCTCTGGTGGGACTCAGGTCAAGGCCCAACATGGGCTGTGCCAGATAGCTCCTTCCTTCTCGTGGGAGAATTTGACTCCGTATTTATTTTCCTGCTCAGGGGTAAAGCCAATTTAAAATTAGTGAGAAAACAGTCCAGTGGGGTGTTCTTGGATCTGGATTCTCCCATCTTGACCCTAGGAACAAATTTAGTTTAACACTCAACAGACGAGACACTGACAAGACAGACAGACGATATACAAGGACTCACAACAAAATAGGCGCCACAAATTTCCAAGACTAACGCCGTGGATTATCAGATAACCCACAGCACAAACGAGATTTCACCTTTAACCGGGGTGATCTCTCCAAACGAGATATCACCCTTAGTCAGGGTGATCTCTCCAAACGAGAATTCGCCCTTAAACAGGGTGACTTCTCCAAATGTCCAGGACGTCTCCCAGGACCAAATGGAGGCGGAGATAAGCCCGTCAGCTCTCTCCGTTTCTCCCAAATTATAATAACATAACAAAAAAACACAAAATGACACGTATTAGCGGACCGCTTACCTCCCGTCCCGGTTGTCGGGGTCCGTGGGGGAAGTCTCGTCGATCCCGGACGAGCCCCCAAATGTAAGGTCCGACTCGACGCACCTTCCCCCAATGACCAGCCGAGACCGTACGGATGCAAGATGCAGAGGTTTTATTGCGTGGGCCACGGGCGTCTCTAATGTCCGAAGACAAGAGAAGCGCCCCGCCAAGGATGATCTTGCTTATATATAGTTTGGAGAGCGGGAAAGCGGGTTGTACAGAAGCAGAATTGCGGATTGGTTAATTCATGTGAGGCCATAAGCTGGGAGGGGTATTTTGCGCGGATTGCCACATCTTATTGTTGGACTATTTCCTTGTTCTTTAGATTCCGAGAATTGGGTGTGCTAACGGGAAGTGGGCGGGTTATTCTCGGAACTTGTCGGGGCAAGTCAGGCGGTGGGGCAAGTGATGGGGCAAGTCAGGACATGTTGGGACAGGCAATAGGGCGGGTCTCTTCAAAAGAATCTTGAAAACAGCAAGAGACTAAAAGTGCTCATTGCATACCAAGAGCTGCTATGGTTTGGACAAATGTCTCTCAAAAATCCACATGCTGCAATTGAGCACTACTCAGCCATAAAGAAAGACAAACTGAAGACATTTGTAGGACGACAGATGCACTTTGAGATCGTAATGCTAAGCAAAATAAATCAGACACAAAATATTAAACATCTCATGGTTTCTCTTACATGAGAAACCAAAAGTGTAAATGATCTAGATCACAGCAAAAGATAGGTGCTAGGAATTAGGGAGGTTGAACTTTTGCAGGTGGGAAAGGGATCCAGGGATGGAGAGAGAGGAGAGGAGGGAAGGAGAAGAGGATGCTAGAAGGACTAAAATACTGTATGTATACGTACCAACTCCCCACAATGAAGGCATTCATTATATATTGCCAAATATAACAAAAAGGTAATAATAAAAAGAAAAAAAGTCCATGCATTAGAGGCTTGGTCCCCAGGGCTGCACCTTTGGGAGGGGTGGGATCTAGGAGGTGGGGTCCTGGGGAGCTCCTTAGGCCACTGGAGCTGTACCCCTGAAGGCAATCTGGGTACCCTGACCCATTCAGTCTTTCTTTTTTGCTTCTCACGTGTAGATGGAAAATTCTTTCAGACAAACCATAACAAATTTTAAGGTATGGAAATAAAATAAGTAATTTTAAAAGCTAAAAGTTTTGCAAATTTGTGGTCATTAAATATCACAGTCCTGAATAACCACAGGACCAAAAATAAAATTATAGGGAAAAGAGGAAATGCTCTGAGATGAAGAAAAACAAAAACATCATAGAAAACCTGTGCAATGTACTGATAGCACTGTTTAGATAGAAATGTGTAGTTATAGCACCTATGTTTAAAAAGAGGAAGGTACATGCCTGTTATCCCAGCAATCCAGGAGGTTGAGGTAGGAGGACCGCAAGTTTGAGCCCAGCATGGACGGCTTAGCAAGACCTTGTACCAAAAAATAAATAAAAAATAATAAGGACTAGGGATGAATCTCAGCGCAAAGGCCCTGTCTTTAGTCCCCAGTACTTGGGTGGGGGGAATAGCTTCATAACTTAATCTTCTACCTTAAGAACCTAGAAAAAGGAGAAATCTAAACACAAAACAAGCAGAAAGGAGGAAATAATGAAGACCAGGATGGAAATAATAGTTGTTGCAAGTTATCTCTGAGAAAGTGAACCTGCGAGCGGAGACAACCATCTTCACAGGCAGCTTGTCAGTGTGCTGGAGGCTTGGTTCTGAGCCAAGAGTCTGTGGTGTTTTGTGTCCACATGGTATCACTTCTGTGCTGGCACTTGGGCAGTGACAGAACAGGCAGGTAATATGAGATAAGGCCTATGATGTGTGTCCAGTTCCCAGAGGCAAGATTAAGACTCCATGTCTTGGTAGCTCTGTGTGGGCTCTGCCTGTGTCCTCCCCCGGGCGCACACCCAGCCTCTTTCTCTTGTGGCCATTGTTTGAGATGCTTCCGCACCCTCTGCAAAACCATCAGTCAAATGGCTGGGTTCATACATTCAAGGAGACCTTGTACAGAAAGCTCTCAGCCTGCAGGGGAAACAGCCGAAGTTGGGAAAGAGCCAAGGAGCACATGTTGTAGATGAGTGAGGAGGAAAGAAGGGAGAAGTGAGTGGCTGGAAATGTCTGCAGCCCCGCATGTGACACATCTGCTTTTCTGCATGCATAATATCTTACTTATTAAATTAGCATACAGGAAATTGATTTGGGGGTCAGCACAGGTCTATAAACTTTATAATGCATTGATTGGTGTATCTACCTGTAAGGTCCGACTCGACGCACCTTCCCCCAATGACCGGCCGAGACCGTACGGATGCAAGATGCAGAGGTTTTATTGCGTGGGCCACGGGCGTCTCTAATGTCCGAAGACAAGAGAAGCGCGCCGCCAAGGATGATCTTGCTTATATATAGTTTGGAGAGCGGGAAAGCGGGTTGTACAGAAGCAGAATTGTGGATTGGTTAATTCATGTGAGGCCATAAGCTGGGAGGGGTATTTTGCGCGGATTGCCACATCTTATTGTTGGACTATTTCCTTGTTCTTTAGATTCCGAGAATTGGGTGTGCTAACGGGAAGTGGGCGGGTTATTCTCGGAACTTGTCGGGGCAAGTCAGGCGGTGGGGCAAGTGATGGGGCAAGTCAGGACATGTTGGGACAGGCAATAGGGCGGGTCTCTTCATACCCTCATAATCAGAATACAGCACAGTTGCATCATCCCATGTCATTTCTTCATACTCACACACTCTTCCCAGTGGTGGGGCATTTGCCTAGCATATTTGTGGCCCCAGGTTCAATACTCAGTACAAGAAAAAAAGAAAAAAAAAAGAACAAACAAAAACAATGTAAAGCAAATCATGCAACATGCACTCTTGAGACTGCTTTCAGCATAATGGCTTTGAGATTCAGTCAAGCTGTCACATGTATCATTAGCTCACTGCTTTTTTCTGATAAATCCTATTCCATCATGTGAATGTACCATATTTGTCGTCTTATGCATTCACCCATGGAAAGGTATTGAGACTGCCTGCAGCTTTCGACAGTTATGAATGTAACTCTCTTGACTACGTCCGTACAGGTTTTTATGTGAACATGTGTTTTCATTTCTCCGGGGCAAATACCTAGGAGTGGGATTGTGAGGGCAGGATATGTGTGTTTGACTTTATATGAAGTTGCTCAGCCATTTGCTGGAGTGATTTGACTATCTCTCATTCTCATCAGCAGTGTAGGGGAATTCCAGGGGTCCCCCATCTTCATCGGCCTATACTATTACTAGTGCCTTTGATTTTAGCATGCAATTGGGCTTGTAACGATAGCTCAATGCCATTTTTCATTTGAATTCCCCTCTTAAACATCTTTCCATGTCCTTGTTCTTCAACGTATACCCTAAGTCCATTTGTGCTCCTATAACAAACTACCTGAAGCTGTGTAACTAATGAACAACAGACATTGAATTTTCCCAGTTCTGCAGGCTGAGAAGCCCAAAGTCAAGGCTCTGACATGTTCAGTGTCTAAAGAACACCTCTCTCTGTTGCCAAGACAACACTGTAAGGGCTGATGTCAGAAGAGAGGACATAAGTAAACAACACAATAGCAGTTATTTGAGGGAGTTTGAGTAGCACACACTATGTCAAGAGAGGGTGTGGAAGACTTCTTGGAATTCACAACAATGTTTACAGTGCACAGTGTTCGAGAGAAGTAACGCATTGGTATAGAACATCAGGAGGAGAAATGGGGGTACTCCAAATATTTTAGGGGTTACCCCCTAGAAAAGGGATCAGCTGTACCCTCAATGGTGACAAAAGACTGAAATGGAATGAAAATCACCAAGGAAAAGGTGGCAGACTTCAACTCCATATCAAGATAAGCTTTTCTACCTAAAAAATCTTCCTCCCACGGTATATGATTGGCACAACATTACTTAAAGCAGCTTAGATTTTTATTACAAGACGTTTGCTATTCCTATGTGTGGTAGCTTAAGAAAAATCTCTGCCAAATAATTTATAACAGACTTGAGGGAAATGGAGAACAGAGTAAAACGCCCTAGCAATGATTTTCTATAAACCATTCATGTATCCAATAAGAGTCTTCTATTCAGTATTTTTTTTCTTTTGTAACTGCACTATATACTTAAAATGTACCAATAAACTCTATTTTTAAAAAAAGAAAACATAGTAAATGGGGTTAAGGATTTGCATGTTGAAGTAGATGGATTCTTATATTTACCACTAAGTCTAACAATGAAAAACTAGTGCATGCTTAACTTTGGCTAATGGATGGCATTTTCAAAATTGTCCCAGTGTTTGTTTTCTATTTATTTTTTTTCAGCTTTAATTGAGTTTATTGGTACATTTTAGGGACACAGTACAGTTACATTCATTGTTGGGATCTTGTACCTCTACATGACAAGTCTTGATTCTCATTTTTCCCCTTACCCCTGCCCTCCCTTCATCCCCTCCTCCCCTCCCCATCTACAAACACTTTTTTCCATCTTTTCATTATCTCACACTTTTTTCTTTTCCCTTTTTACCCTTCCCCTACCTGTCCCACCTTCCCTACACCTTTAGCTCCTTTCTTCCCATTTCTAAATGTCAGTAATCTTACTAGGATCTTCTGTATTATTGCAGATTATTCACACCAGAGAAACTATTCGGTATTTACACATGTGTGACTTCTTTATTTCACTTAGGAGTATATCTTCAATATGTATCCATTTTCCTATAAACTATTCAGTATTTTTGTCGGTAGATTCAAAAGTCAGATATGCAAACGAAATATAAAATACTCTTCCAGCGAAATGAGAAGGGCATTTAGATAATTAGAATTTACAAAGCATGGATTGAAGGACAGGAGGGGCCAACAGATACAGAAAAGGATCATGACTGAGAATTGGGAAACAGGTGTCGCACCGCGTGGCAGGGGGAGAGGGGAATCCATTCTGAGGTCGCCTCTGGCCCTGAGCCTTCCAGGAGGAAAGAAGGGCTTCAAGTCTTGGGCTCCAGCCAGCCATGACTGCGCCAGTTGCGAACCACACAAGTCCTTCTTTCTACTTAACTTCTTTCTTCATCTGTAACCCGAGGCACTTGGATCAGATGACTGCTGAGATCTTTGCTACCTCCAAGTGTAGTGCTGAGAGAGATCTACCCAATCGAGCGCCAACCCATGTACTTTCTGCACCTATTCAATACACGCTGGGCCAACACAGAGAGGGTGCCATCCTACCCACCACACAGATATTTAAGGAGAGTTTCAAGCCAGGCTAAAACAAGATTCCGCCTGAAAATACTTAACACACATTTTCAAAGCTGATGTGACTCAAAAAGGGAATAAGACCTAATTGGCCAGCCCCTGACACCAACCTGAAACCCTGCAGGTAACCAAACCCTCTAACTAACTTCTTTAAGCTCTGAGGGACTCACAGCACATTATGTTACCTGCACACGGAGAAAAGAAATGTCTCTGAATCTTTAAACACACTTTTGAAATATAAAGCTTCTCCCACAGGCAGCAGAGGTGATATATGAATTCTGTGTCATTAACGCTCAAGGCACCCACCTGCTCCTGTTCACGGTTCACAGCCAAGTTCGATATTCTCCAAACAGGCGGAGGACCACAGATCCTTGCGGTCAGCAGCAGGCAGAGGACAGTGAGGGGCCAACGAGGACCAGCCTGAAACCCGCCACCTTCCACTCTTCAGGCCCAGGGAAGGAGCTGAGGAGTAACTCTGCCTTCCACATTGTTCTCAATAGAAAAAACAAAAACAAAGTCAACATTATCCCTAAATAGCTCAAAACATTGTTTTCATTTTCTCAGTTTTCAGTGAACACCTATGGGAAACTATTTCCTTTTTTCCTGATAGGGAAAACAGAACTTTACTCATTTTCAAACCTAGATGTTGCCAAGTTAGAAAAAAAGAGAAAGAAAGAAAGAACAGAACTGAGAGAAATTACAATGGCTCTGATGGTGAAATGGACAATATGTCAGTATCATTCAGGTGTCCCTTACTCTCTCTCTCTCTCTCTCTCTCTCTCTCTCTCTGTCTCTCCCCTTCCATCCAATACAGCTCCCCCCCACGCACTTTAGGATGTGTGACGTCACTCTTAGCCCTTCCAGTCACCAGCTTGAAAAAATGTGCAGATCTCCCAAGTCTTCATACTTCATTCTTATCTGTGAAACAAGACTAGAAAAGGCTACTTTGCAGGCTCGAGTGGTGATCCGGGCCATGACACAAGGTAGCTGCTTTGCCATAGGTAAGGCAGGTGAACCAGCTACGTACCCCCCCCACCTCATTCATCGCTTGGTGAGGCAGGGACAGGGGCTTAGGGCAACGTGGGTTAGTGACTCAGAGTCTCCCTGAAGCAAGGCCTGGGTTTAAATCCCCAGGCAGCCAGTACGGTAGCGCATGCCTGGCTGAGGCAGGGGAATCTTAAATTCAAGCCCAGCCTGGACAATTTAGCAAGAACCTGTCTCAACAAAAACAAAACAAGTAAAAAGTTGTATACGTGTACCAACTCCCCCCAATGAATGTGATAACTGTGTGCTGAAAATGTGGACTAAATAATAATAAAAAGCTGGGGATGGAGCTCAGTGCAAAGGTTCAATCCTCAGTACTGGAAAAGAAAAGAATCCTAGGCAGCCACAGGGGTCAGAACAGAATCAATCAGGTGGGAAGTGTTCGCATAATGACAGACTACTAACCGTGGTTATTCCTGATAGTGAGTGCAGATGAAATCATTTTTTCTTAGATTATTTTATTGTTTGATGTAGAATAAAAAAAAAAGAAAGAAATGAAGGGCAGACACCTAGCTACACCAAATATTTGTAGTTATCCCTGTAAATGTTCCTCTCTGCTGAGAAATACTGTCAGCTGCACTGAAACGAAATGCACAGTCCTCCCACTGTTACAAGGCAAGAAAGCGCGATTATATTTGTCACATTATGATTTCACAGTCAAAAGGACATCTGTGCATATCACTACCAGGCCATTACCCAAACCAGGTACTGAAAAATGAAAGCTAAAGATGCCAAGAGAGGGTTGGTTTATGCAGGTAAAATTTGAAAAGAAGAAATACAATGATTGTTGAGTACAGTGTTGCACTTCCCGAATATAATGGCAGGGCAGGGAGCTGTACTGGAGATGGAGCCCAGGGCCTTGTGCGAGCGGAGTTAATGTTCTGCTACTGCACTGCACCCCCAGCCCCACAGGAACTGTCTTGGTTCCTTCGCACAACCCCCAGAGATGGGCACTGCGATTATCCCACTCTACAGAGGAAAGAGCACTGAGGCTCTGAAAGGTTAACTTGCCTTAAATCGTTCAGGCTGTGAATCACTGATCCACAAAACTATCCACGGTTCTGAAGTCCGACCTCTCCTTCCTGTTCTCTGTTGCCTCTGTTGTGAGAGTGTAACGCATACTCAGCTGTCTTCAGCTACAGACTTTAATTATTTGTAAGTTTGGGGAAACTTAGGTTTTATTTTTCCAGAAAATCAATAAGCACAGTAAAACTATGCTTCATTTGATGATATAATTTTCCTCTCTTATTTTGGCTACTATTTTCCCATGTAGGAAATTAATAAATGTTTAAGGCTCTTGACTTGTTTCTTAATAAAAATTATTAGAAGATAGTCATAAAGTGAAATGGATGTTAATCTCCCCCTTTTTTCTGGAGACAGGGTCTTACTATGTAGTTCAGGCTAGCCTT